TAATATGCATTAATAAATAGTACTTTACGCATAAAAAATGGTTTTTAAGAGTTTTAGTCAAATGCTTTATAATATAGTATAGATATGTATCTATATATATATGTATCTATATGTATCTATCTATCTATCTATCTATCTATATATATATATATATATATGTATCTATGTATATATGTATGTATGTATCTATCTCTATATATATACGTACATACATACGTACGTAAATATGCGTACGTATTTAAATACGTACACATATATACGTATATATGTTAAGTTTCAATTTTTGTACCTATATATATGTGTTGTTTCATTACGTAATGCATCTCTATATATATAAATGTTATCGTAATTTATTCTCAATTTGTTATCGAAATGTATGTATGTATATATATATATATATACGTACAAGAAGTAGGGCCGATTGTGCATTGGTATAAGGTGGTATGGAATAAAGCATACATACCTAAACATGCTCTTTGCTTGTGGATGGCATGTCAGAGAAGATTACCAACCCCGGATCACATTAGCCAGTGGAAGCATGAACCTCCTGATCTGAAATGTGTTTTTTATAAATTAGTGATTGAAACACACAACCACTTATTTTTTGAATGCAACTACTCGAGTAGTATTTGGGAGGTAATTAAAAAGGAAGTAGGGATAAAGAATTGTCCGAACAAATGGGAGGATATCCTTAATATGGGATTATCACAAAGGTGGAAATCATGGTCTACGGTTCAAAAACTTGGTATATCGGCTACGGTATACCATATATGGAGGGAAAGGAACAGAAAGTTCTTTGACAATTATAACCATGCTGGGAAAAAGTTGTGGCTGAGATCAAGATACAGATTCTTCAAAGAATGGCATGGAAGACAAGGAAGAAACTCACGAGAATCAATGACGCGTGATCAAGTGGATGATGAAGGTTTTCGGTTCTGGAAGATATTGGTGATTTGCTCCATTTATTTTTTGGCTTGCTGTAAATTTACTTTTTGGTGCATTTCTCTTTGTCTTTTTTGGCTTCTTATGGCTTGGTTTCTGAGTCAAAGTTGCCGTAGCTTTTCTTGCTGATTTGCTTTTTGTAAGGTTTCGCTTTTATTCGTCTTTATAAAATTGCCTAGGGAAATTCCCCTTTCAGTGTATATATATACGTATAAAAATACGTACATACGTACCTAAATATACGTAAATATGTATGTATTTAAATACATACACATATATACGTACATACATACGTACGTAAATAGACGTAAATATGTGTACGTGTTTAAAAACGTACACATATAAACGTATATATGTAAAGTTTCATTTACTTTATTTTATACGTAAATATATATGTGTTGTTTGAAAATACATGTATATATACGTATAAAAATACGTACATACATAC